ATGGGGGTTCTGTGTGGGAAGTTTGCCCCAATTCTGTTGTTTGTGGGGTTCAGAATGCTCTTTGATTGTAGGTGAACTATAAATCCCAGTAACTACAACTCCCAAATGTCAAGGTCTGTTTCCCCCAAACTCCATCTGTGTTCATATTTGGGCATATGGAATATTCGTGCCAAGTTTGGTCCAGATCCATCATTGTTTGAGTCCACAGTGCTCTCTGGATGTAGGTGAACTACAACTCCCAAACTCAAGGCCAATGCCCACCAAACCCTTCTAGTGTTTTATGTTGGTCATGGGAGTCATGTGTGCCACGTTTGGTTCAATTCCATCATTCTCACCTTTCAGGGGACTCAGGGCGGATTACAATGTACATGGCAAACATTCAATGCCATAGACACACAACATATATAGACAGACACAGAGGCAATTTAACATTCCAGCTTCATGAGGGTATTCTGGCCACCAGGGGAGCTGTCCCTTCACCAACCATTTGTGACACAGATGGAGTACTTCCTTGTTCTTTGCATGCTTGCTGGAGATTTTTATGACCTCATAAATTAGTTAAATTTCCCTCCCCGCATAAGCGGTACCGAAATTTCCTACTTGACAGATGCCACAGTCTTTCGGGCTGCAAAGGTCGACAGCAAGCTACACAAAATTGGTCAGAAGCTCACTCCGACCCGGGCTGGCTTCAAACTCATGACCTTGTGGTCAATAGTGATCTTAATGCGGCTGACTCCCAGCTAACTGCGCCACAGTCTGGGTGCTTGATATATAGGCGTAGACCTTGCTATATGGGAGTTGTAGTTGCTGGGATTTATAGTTCACCTACAATCAAAGAGTATTTGGAACCCCACCAATGATAAAATTGGGCCAAATGTCCCACACAGAACTCCCACAATCAACAGAAAATATTGTGTTTTTTTATGGTCTTTGGTGACCTGTATGACACCTCCCTCGTGACACTCCCCAGGGGTTCTGACCCCCAGGTTGAGAAACATTACTTTTGTGCATCAGCAAACTAAAAATCCCAGGATTCCATACAATAAAGCCATAGATTCCATAAATAGTAGGGGTTGGACTAGAGGTCTCATTCAATTCTACGACTCTATGGCACCAAAGGCAGCTCTGGCCAGAGCAAAGACAGAGGGGAGGAGAAGACATTTCCACCTTGTCTTTACTATTAATATAATATAGTATATTGTA